AAGTTGTACCTACACTTTCCTAAAAATCTTCTATGGTACAATTAAAAATTGTACCTATACACTATAGTACAACTTAATGTTGTACCTACACTTTCTAACAAATCCCTCTATGGTACAATTCAAAATTGTACCTATACTAATGGTACAACTTTTAGCTGTACCTACACTTTCTCAAAATCCTTCTATGGTACAACCCAAACTTGTACCTATACCATGGTACAACTTTAAGTTGTACCTACACTTTCTAAAAATCGTTCTATGGTACAACCCAAACTTGTACCTATACCATGGTACAACTTTAAGTTGTACCTACACTTTCTAACAAATCTCTTTATAGTACAACTAAAAATTGTACCTATACTAATGGTACAACCTTAAGTTGTACCTACACTTTCTCAAAGTTCTTTTATGGTACAACTCAAAATTGTACCTATACTAATGGTACAACTTGAAGTTGTACCTACACTTTCTAATAAATCTCTTTATGGTACAACTCATAATTGTACCTATACTAATGGTACAACTTTTAGTTGTACCTACACTTTTTCAAAATCCTTCTATGGTACAACCCAAACTTGTACCTATACTATGGTACAACATAAAGTTGTACCTACACTTTCTAACAAATTCCTTTAAGGTACAACTAAAAATTGTACCTATACGAATGGTACAACCTTAAGTTGTACCTACACTTTCTAACAAATCCCTTTATGGTACAACTAAAAATTGTACCTATACTAATGGTACAACCTTAAGTTGTACCTACACTTTCTCAAAATCCTTCTATGGTACAACCCAAACTTGTACTTATAACATGGTACAATTTTAAGTTGTACCTACACTTATTAATAAATCCTTTTATGGTACAACTCAAAATTGAACCTATACTAATGGTACAACTTCAAATTGTACCTACACTTTCTAATAAATCTCTTTATGGTACAACTCAAAATTGTACCTATTACTAATAGTACAACTTTTAGTTGTACCTACACTTTTTCAAAATCCTTATATGGTACAACCCAAACTTGTACCTATACCATGGTACAACTTTAAGTTGTACCTACACTTTCTAAAAATCCTTCTATGGTACAACCCAAAATTGTACCTATACCATGGTACAACTTTAAGTTGTACCTACACTTTCTAACAAATCCCTTATGGTACAACTAAAAATTGTACCTATACTAATGGTACAACCTTAAGTTGTACCTACACTTTCTCAAAATTCTTTTATGGTACAACCCAAACTTGTACCTATAACATGGTACAATTTTAAGTTGTACCTACACTTTCTAATAAATCCCTTCATGGTACAACTCAAAATTGTACCTATACTAATGGTACAACTTAAAGTTGTACCTACACTTTGTGAAACAAATTCTTCAATGGTACAGCTGAAACTTGTACCTATACGATATGGTACAACTCTAATTTGTACCTACACTTGTATACATTGATTCATTATTTACAAGATTGCCATTAATGATGTGGGACCAGTCATTTATTGGGTTTACCTCCTCAACAGGTCACCTTTTTTATAGCATGGGTGCTATAGAGCACACTAGAAGGGCTCGTACCGAAGGCCTTTTTATAACGGAATATAATTTTGGCAGGTGCTGTCACTATAGGGTACAGTGGATTTTTACGTGGTTGTATTCATTAATTAATTACTGGCCGTAGAATGGCTGACGAGGATACGTGTGGTGGATCGATCTGGTAGTGGCGGGAGAGATAACGTTTTAAGTTTTAACGAGGAGCGGTGAATGCGTTGGCGGTATAGACGTATAGTGAATGGTGGTGGAGCTTGCTCTCCGTCACTTTCGCCATTGTTGGCTCTTGTTTTTCTCTCGCGTTTTTTGGGGTTTAGCCAGCCGCTTGCATGTGTTGTAATAGTGAATTAGTGACCACCTTCTTCCGTCCCCTCCATTGTGTAGTTACAGTAGTTAGTGTAACACCAAGATTTAGCAAAGAACTAGACTACTGTTGTAAGACTAACGGTATTGTGAAGCCAAATAGTGGATTTCTGAATAGAAAACCCACAAAGACTTCCAAAGTTATTTGAACTTTGGATTTTCAAAATCCTCATGCCCATCAATCAATCGATTGATGATAGAAAATTAGGAATTGGGTTGCACGATTCATTGACCGTTGGATTGTTGAAAGATGCTTGATCATTCCAATTCCATGAGGCAAACAACCTCCTAGTGTATTTGATTGTAGTAGATGCATGACGGCCGGTATGAATAAAAGGAAACCGAGGAAGATGAATATTTGTAATAGGTTGAGACCTTGTCATCTGTTAATTGGTAGAGAATTACATGCAGAAAATGGAGAATAAAGGATGAGTTTAGGATGAATATTTGTTATGGCTGAATTAGAGTTGGTTCCAAGAATTAGGGAATTATAAGCAAAGTTACCAAACCAATTCCTTGTTGTATTACTATGAAGAACCAATTGATCCCAATATTTCGAGTTCCTAAGAGGTTTCATTGTGGATTTTATATTGTTTACTAAAATACCCTCTCAAACGAAAGCCACCATTACCATGTCAAGAACCAGTTGGTCTCAATAACCGAGTTGTTGGGAACCAGTTGGTCTCAATAACCGAGTTGGTCCCAACAACTCGGTTATTGAGACCAACTGGTTCTTGACATGGTATTAAACCCTTCTGTGACTGAGAGGTTTTATGTCTGAATCCCGATGACTCTCATCTGTTCTGATAAGCATATGGTGTTTGAACTTGTGCAAACTTCAACCCCATATATGGTGGCTTTCATTTGAGGGGTATGTTAGTACACAGTATGTTATCGGGATCAACTAATTCTTGACAATTACTTGGCAACATTTTATGGCGGACAAATATGACAAAACACCATTTAGCTATTGCATTTATTTTTCTCGTTATCAGAAATAAGTATTGAACTAACTTTGAGATGAGACACAGTGTAAACTATCTTTTAGAAGTACTTAGATTTTGTAAATTTATAACTACACAAACTTCAAAGGGGCACATAAAAAAATTCCACTTGGTCAAAACGAGTATGCAAATCATGAATATCTCCAATAATACTAAAGGATTTGCATCTAGTGGTGGTTGATGTCGTACGTTCATGACTAAATATGTCTCATTTATAATTTGAAAGAGAAATTGTGTATTATAGATTATACAAAGGGACATGTTTGATCATTTTTCCAAAGTACAAGGGCATGTTTGATGTAAAAAATAGTAAAGGGACATGTTTGATAAATGTACATAGTAGAGGGGCATATTATACTTATAACTCTTAATATAATGATGTTAAGGTGCAAGCTGGATTGCCCTGACTTTGTGTTTTTGTCATTTATGGTATTTAAACTATACAAGCGTGTTAGAATTTATGTTTGAAGGTCAAAATATAATTTTTTTCCCCGGTTATTTAATTATGTGCTTGACTAAACAAACTTCTTATTTTTTCATCAATATGATCCACATGGTGCAGACCACACAAAAAAACGTGATCTAGATTGGATCGTCTAATATTTAATTTAATGGGACTTCCTACAGTAACTTGGGTATAATTTCAAGTTAGGTAACTTACATAGATCTAAACCGTTAAAATCTATCAAAATTATTTTGAACCATTGATTAAAGAAATAAAAAATAAAAAATAACTAAAAAATCATTGGCAACAAGGGGTGGCCGGTCACCACCCACGTAAGTTACCATTTTTTGTTTTTTCCTTTCCTTTTTCAAGTTTATTTGCTTTCCTTTTTTTACCCTTTCCTTATTTTAATTATTATTTAATTAGAAGCGTTACGTAAAACTTCCGTAATAACTTAGCACTTTACGTAACGTGAGGTTAATACTCATTACATAAAGAGACCTTCTATTACGTAAAGGGTACGGAATGATAGTTATTTCTTACGTAACAGTGAAATCAGAAGCGTTACGTAAAGCTTTCGTAATGACTTAGCTCTTTACGTAACACGACATTAACAATCATGACGTAAAGAGACCTTCCATTATGTAAGGCTTCCGTAATGACATTTTACAACTGTTACGTAAAATACACATTCATTACGTAAAGGTTACGAAAGGATAGTTATTTCTTACGTAACAATTAAATAGGAAGTGTTACGTAAGACTTCCGTAATGACTTAACACTTTACGTAACACAAGGTTAATACTCATTACGTAAAAAGACCTTCTATTACGTAAAGGTTACGTAACGAAAGTTATTACTTACGTAACAGTTAAATCAGTAGGATTACGTAAGACTTCCGTAATGACTTAACATTTTACGTAACGCGAGGTTAATACTCATTACGTAAAAACACATTCTATTACGTAAGGCTTCCGTAATGATCTTTTACAACTGTTACGTAAGATTACCATATGTTACGTAACCATTACGTAATGTCTATTGTATTTTACGTAATGCGACCTGTGAAACCTGCTATCGCAGGTAAAAAAATTCAAGTTACCTTACTTTAAGTTACCGTAGGAAATCCCTTAATTTAATTCCTAATCTATACTCTTAACTTCTGGTTTTGGACCACAAAACAATTTTGGAGGGGGCATAGGCCAATGGCATGCTGTAGCCTAGCCTGTAGGGGAGGGTTTGGGGATTCCTAACCTAACCTGAACGTAGGCGTGCAAAGGGAAGGGGATGATGAACCAAACCCCCACCAATTACTAGCGCAGCTGACTGTATATGCAAATGCTATGGTAAGGAACTGTGATTGCGACTAGAGCTGTCAAAATGTAACCCGAACCGAGTAACCCGCCCGATCAATCCGACCCGCAACCCGTCCGCAATTCGATTTGACTAAAAGTCAATAACTCGTAACCCGCCCGACCCGCAACCCGATCAACCCGCAACCCGATTAACCCGAACCCGTAACCCGACCAACCCGACTATAATAGAAGGAATTCAATGATGATAAACTATAACTCTATAAGTTGACATTTGAAATCCTGGTTCACTAAAGTCTGATCATTACATCATCAATTATTAACTTAGTATAATAATATACATCATCAACCTATTAACGCATATAACATCATCAAATATTGATTTAGATACATCATCAACCTAATAGTGCACATAACATTATAAAATATTAATTTAGCATAATAAGATAATTATAAGATTTAAAATCCAAATCTCATGATTCTATCATAAAAAAGACTAATAATAGTTCACAAAAGTCTGATCATAACAAGAATACATGATTCATAATAGTTCATATTGTCTCAAGACCTCAAATATCAATAAAACATGTCCAAAAAACAAATTGACATTCCAAACGACGATCACTCTAGAAGCTTTACTTCTTCTCCATCACGAGTCGTATCTTCATCATCATCATCTGTACAATTAATCAGTGAAAAGAAAATAATAAGAAAAAGAGAATAGTTTGTTCAGTACAAATATAAAAATTTGTTTTTTCTTACCCATTTGGTATCCTCGTATCCAATTACGAGTTGTCACAACAGCTTCAAGAGTATCAGACAAAATCGAAGTGAGGTAGCAGTGTGGTGAGGAAATCGAATTGTGAGGTAGCAGAGTTGGTTAATGGGTGTTTGGTGAATTAGTGATTAGTAAACAGAGTTTAGTTTTTCGATACCTAGTGAAGATTTTTTTACATTATTAACGGTCTACTTTTTTTTAGTTGCCGTTTAAATTAAGGTATTAAATATAAGTTGGTGTATAGGGTATATAATGGGTTAGGGTATAAGGTATTAAATATTAATTGTTTAGGCACAATTAGTCAAAAACTCAAAATAATAACTTATAACTAATTAGGTATTAAATATTAATGATTTAGGCACGATTAGTCAAAAACTCAAAATAATAACTTATAACTAATAAGATCAACTTTTATTATTAACATATGTTCATGAATCAAACCATTAGGGGTTTAGGGTATATAGACTATAGAGTCGATGTTTAGGTTATATAGACTATAGAGTCGATGTATAGGATATATGGTTAGTGTAACGGGTACATAATGGGTTAGGGTATAAGATATTAATGGTTTGACCACGGTTAGTCAAAATCATAACTAATAAGATCAACTTTTCTTATTAACATGTGTTCATGAATCAAACCATTAGGGGTTTAGGGTATATAGACTATAGAGTCGATGTATAGGGATATGGTTAGTTTAATGGGTTAGGGTATAAGCACTACAGGAAAACTAGTTTTTAGTCACGGGATCTTATTCACGGTAGTGTTTCCCGTACTAAGAAGTATACTAATATTCACGGTAAAATTTCCCGTAATTGATTATATAGCTATAATCACGAGAGTTTATTTACGTGTATTTTAGCCTTCTCTTCCCATCTAGAACGAGATCCATATTTTTCTCATTATTATTACATGTGAATCATAGAACAAGATCCCATCTAAAATAAAATCATAGAACGAGAAGATAATACCCTCACCAATAGCTAGAAAATAGAAATTTAAGAAAACCGTTTCATTTTGATAACCCGCCAAATGATTTTTCGTTTCCCGGGCCTTTGCCAATTCTAAAATTTCATGACCACCACCAGGCGCCAAACTCTTTTCATTTTCCGGGTCCTTTTTGGGCTCTCCAATCGTAGAGAGAAAAGGTAGGCATTAGAAAATAAATGAACTTTTTCTGCTCGACTGTTTGGCTGACGTGGAGGTGAAGTTGTTGGTTATTAATGTTTGTTTTGTTCGTTATGCCAATTTCCATGGACTACTTATTAGTGTGTGTTATGCGGGTGCGGTATAGGTTGAAAGTGAGGGAAGGTTCACGGCAGAAGAGATAGCGAGCTCTGTGCAATAAATATTTACTTTCATTCATGCCAACAGCGGCGGTGGTGGTGTAGTAGTTTAGCAGCATGTGACTGATTTACGACTTACTAGTAATCACTTAAAAGTAACGCGATGTTCTGGTCCGTAAAATCCGCAATCCAAACCGCCCGACCCGTAACCCGATTGACCCGCACCCGATTTACCAGTAAACCGATTGACCCGCAACCCGATTGACCCGAACCCAACCAACCCACAATTCGATCGACTCGCAACCCGACCAACCCGCAACCCGAATGAACCCAACCTGAACCCGCCCGATTGACACCTCTAATTGCGACGTTGGCTCGGAGAGGCAGCCGTACGATAAAGCGCACTTGCTTAGTTAAGCACTCTGTCAAATTAACTACTTGTGTGCCCGCTGATGAGATGGATTCCACATCGACTTATATGTTTTTGGAGATTGAAATGTTAGAGCAGGCCGACTTCATATCCACCTAATTCTCTGCTTTAGCCACCATCAAATCTTGTCCGGGAAATACATGTGTACAAGTGAAGTGAAATGAAGAAGTTGCAAGGTTTTAGAAAGTTAGGGTACGTTATAGGTCACTCATAAGAGAAAAGCCAATCTATTTTTGCACCTAAATTATTTGAATAGTATTTTTCATTAAAAATTTAGGCATCGAACTGTATAATATACAAAGTATAGGTACTAAATTATAATTTTTCAATTATTGATGAATCATATCTATAGATATGAATCCACCAATTCAATTGAATTTGGACTTAATGATCATATTAGTTGAATTTTTGGTGAATTAATTGAATTAAATTAGTGTATTTAATTCAAATTGTCACAACTAATCACACCGTGAAAGGGTTCAATTGTCTTTTGGCCGGGGTAGAACTACAGCAGGTCCGGAGAGCCCCGGTCCCCCTATAATAGGTGAGTGGATAAATTCAACAAGCATGCCGCGAATTAGCAAAGAAACAATTAGCAGCCTAGCGGATGCATGAGTGTAGCATCATTTCGTTGTTGTGGTTTGGTTCCTTGGTCATAGTTAATGAGCCGAGCCGAGTCGAGCTTTGCCATAGTTCGGGCTCGGCTCGTTAATATATTTCCAAGCTCGAGCTCGGCTCGTGTTCGTCACGAGCTTTAATATGCAAGCTCGAGTTCGCCTCATTTATAAAAATGAAAGCTCGACTCGGTTCGAGCTCGACTCGTTAAATAAGGTTATCGATCCCAAAATCGAGTAAACCTCATAAAATGTTCATAATAACTCAAGATTGACCTAGAACTGGGCACAAAATTACATTCAAACCTGTAGCAAAGTCTAGCAAAATAAAACACAATTTTATCTCAATTTCAATACATAAAATCCATGAATTCTAATCCTTTCTTATGCCAAAATGTTAAATGAGCTTGTTCGCGAGCTTTCGAGCTGAACATGGTATGGCTCAAGTTCGGCTCGTTTAGTTAACGAGCTTGTTTGCGAGCCGATTTGATTAAGACTAATCGAGTTTCAAACGATTTCTCGAGTCGGACGCCGAGACGTTCATGATCGGCTTGGTTCATTAACAACCCTAGTCATAGCAAATCAATTTTGCTGAGAACCATTGGTAGTGTAGTTTTATATTGTTTTCATTTGATTAAACAAATGAAATAAACTGTTTAGTTCTGGTCAATTGATTTTTAAGTTTTTAATTTGTTAAGATTTTAACATTGAAGTAACGCGAATCATTGCTAGTGTATGTTTTTCATTTGATTAAACAAATGAAATAACATGTTTAGTTTTGGTCTATTGATTTTTAAGTTTTTAATTTCAAGTGAGATCAATTAAGTTCTTTAAATTTTAAGTATATTTTCATATATATATATATATATATATAATTATTGTTTTACACAATATAGTAATGAATTGTTAATTATTTCTAATTTGTATTGAACTTAATGTGAAAGTTTAAATCCTAGTTGAAGTGATTTTAATTATCTCAAAGAATATTTTGTTAGTTTAACATATGGAAGATGGCAAAGGAGGTTTGGCCGAGTAACCATATTCTACTTTGCCTGTAAATAATCTGAGAGCAGAGACATGAAAAGATTCTGAAATGCTAAATGTCGTCCTATAATTACTATTTGTCGTCATAACATTATAGGGTAATTTACATATTTGTCCAATTTTAAATTTGAAATTGTAACCAAAACAAACACTTCCTAAATTAAAATTACTAAACCACTACTCTCCACCCTATCCCCAACAGTTATAACGGTCGATCCGGCGGGTGTGTGCGGCCCGTTTTTCTCATCGGGTCAGGGTCAAAGTGGGTCGACCCGCGGGTTGACAACCTTGCTCGTAAAAAATTTGATGAAGCTGCAGGCGGGGGAAATAAAGTAGGGTTTGGGTCATGGGTTGGGTTGAATTTTATGACGGGGCGGGTTATAAGATATGGCGGGTTGGTTTTTTTAATTTTCAAGTTAAATTTGGGTGATTAGACTTTTTTGTTAGCCACATTAACAAAAAACTAACGCTGTTAACGGAGACTAACGGAAGGTAACGGAAATTGACCAAACTTGAACTGTTAAACAATTCGAAATTATTGGAATAAAATATTTCTAGTGACTAAATGTGAATGTTTTTTTGTAATCTCAGTGACTAACCATGCAATTTACCCTCTTATTTTATGTCAACGTTTTTACCTTCTTTCCTCTATATCTTATTTATGTAATATCTCTATATCTTATATTATCAGATATTTATAAAGAATTCTTTCCTTTATATCTTATTTTATGTCATATCTCTATATCTTGTATTATCAATAATATATATGGTTAATATATTTGTATGACATGAACTTTGCATATAATAAACATCATGACCAATCTTTTCGATCTATATAATCCTGGCCCAAACTATACATCAAAGTTACTAAATTAGACAAACTCGATGTTTTTGACCGTTATCTTTGACGATCAAACGCGTTGACTAACGGTCAACGCGCCACGTCATTGCCAAGTCAACAACTTTCACTTTAAAAATTATATATTTTCACCTATATAAATGGATATTTTATTTAAAAATACAACAATTTAAATAAAAATTTTAAAAACAAATGGGTATTATGTTAAAACTTAATTAGAAATTACTGAAAATAAATGGTGAAATTTTTTAAAGTTTCATTTTTATTAAATTTTGTTTTAAATTTTTGATTCTTTGTTCATATTTGTGGAAAATTTGAAGATAAATATTATGTGGAAAATTAATTCGGAATGAGTGAAAATAAATGGTGGAAAAATTTTAATTTTGATTTTATTTGCTTATATTTGTAAAAAAATCGAAAATGGGTTTATGTAGAAGATTAATTTGAAATCCTTGAAAATAAATGATGGAATTTAAAAAATATATATTTAAAAAATTATGGGAGATATAAGGGTATACGAAATAAATTTTTCTTTATTTATTTTTTTGCTTCAAAATGAAAAATAAAAATGGTACTAGGTGGAAAATATATATATTTTTTAAGTGAAAGGTGATGACTTGACAATGATGTGACACGTTGACCGTTAATCAACGCGTTTGACCGTCA